TGGTCGTATACCGATGAAAAGAATATCGATCGACATAATTAGTTTAATTTGCGAATTAATTATGTTATTAATTTCATCGATTCCAATTGTTACATTATTTTTTTATTTATAGACCTTTATTACTTGGATTGATTGATTTAAGTATTTTTATCGATTTCGATCGTTTAAATTAATCTTGATTAATTTACATTTACATTTCAGATAATTCGATTACACGCTATTTCTATAATTATTGCACATATATACGTATATTCGTTATAATACGTATATTCGTTATAATTATAATTATAATTATAATTATTATGTTATACGTATAATTATTGTATCATTTAAATAATTACTCCGAAATACATCGAATTATTGCGTCATTTTATAATTCTTACATTGTATGTTCTATTTTAATCTAGTACGCACCGAAAAAAAAAAATATCCTCAGACTGATAATAGCGAAAAATATTTCGCGGCTAAATCGATTTACGCGCCTTAATTATTTTACTTTTCTCGTCTCGATTACTTTAATTAGTTTCGTTTAAACGTCTTTATCGATTTCATCTCTTTAGTTAATTTAAATTGTTTCGATCATCTTAATCGATTTTATATTGATAACAAATAAAAACATCACAGTAATCACGCGTATTTAATTGTTAAAATTTAATAACGTTTTATTTTTTTTTTAATTTCTTATCTTTCGATACATCTTGGATGAATATATAAATATATATAAATAAATCATTCTTGATAATATATCATTCGTTTTAAAATTATTTCTTAATTCGTCTTCCTTAAAGAAAAAATAAATTTTTAAATTCCTATTTATTATTTTTCTTTATTTCGATCTTTTTATTCTTTTCCTCTTTCTCCTTCTTTTCTTATACTTTTTTGATTACGTTCCAACACGCTTCTGCTATTCGCGTCATTGAAAGCTAAGGAAAATGGCCACGGCCCGCTCCCTGTACCCGAAAGTAAAAGCCAGTAAAAGAGACCCGATATAATCTTCTCTATTTATCTTCTGTCAATGTTTCCTCAAAAATTCGACGATTCCAGCTTGGAGGACAATACACTCCTTGAATCGAAGAAAATAATTTCGTGAATGAAAACATCCCGGATCCGAAAGAGAAGTTTCCCCCCATCGTATGAAAAACACTGAGAGTCATTCCGTTGCTCGCAAAAAAATTCGAATCGAGAAATGAGTCTCGAACTTCACGCGTACGGAAGAAATAATGTTCCAATTTATTAGCCACAGGTTCTTTAGGATAAAATTATAGTAAGATATTTACGTTACTCGAGATTATTTGATTATTATAATTATTTATATTATTATATCAACGAATTATTATTATTCTTTATCGTTATTATTAATCGTATTTTCTTATCGTTATTGATCATATCGTTTTTTTATCATTATTAATCATATTTTTTTATCGTTATTATTATTCTTTTACTTATTATTATTTTTTAATAATATTTAATTATTTCTAAACACAAACGAATAAATATCTATTTAATTTATGAATTTCATAATTTTAGAATAGGAACGAATAAGTGCCATCTCTACGCAAGGAATCGGTCGATTTGATAACATCGGGACAGATGGTTCCGATCATTTATTTCGGTTTCATCATTTAATCGGTCGTTTATCAACATTCTTTTCTTTTCTGATTATCTATTTTAAATTAAATGTTAAAATTAAATATTAATTAGTTTAATTAATTATTCATCTTAATTAGTATCATCCACGCGTTCTAAAGTTTGGTTATATTGGAATAACACTGGCGGAGGATAGATGATAAGAAAGTTATATATATCAGATCTATTATCGACTTTTGTTCCCGATTACAGGGAATGGGTTGCGACAAGACATTCGTTCAATGGCCCAGAAAGATATCGGGCGTCGAATGCATAACAGAAGAAACATATTGGCGCATAATCAAAGAAATATAAGCAAAAAAAAGAAAAGAATAAAAGGATCCAAATAAAGAAAAATAAATAGGAATAAATTTATTTTTTTTAATTAAAGGAAATTAAGAAATATAATTCTGAAACGGAAAATATATAAGTAAAATTATATATATATATATATATATATATATATAAAACATATATATAAACATAAATATATATATATATATAATGTATATAAATATATATATAATATATATACATAAATATATTACATATATATATTAAATATATTTATATATTAGTCGAAAACAATCATGAAAAGTTAACGTCTAATCCATTACTTTCGTTAATACCAGTCTCAAGGAATTTCTTTTATCAGGGTATCTCTAATTTATAAAACCTAATTCTAAAAATTAATTAAACTAATCAAGAATAATTGGAATTAATTGAGTAGTTCGAGTAATTAATTTCAAATAATGATAATTAACAGATATAACTTGAATTATTAAAACATATTGATAAAAGTAATTAAAATAATCGTAATAATTAACACATATAAATTAAATTAATTATATTAACTACATAATACTTAATTAATGCTTATGAATAAATTAATTAATTATATTGTCGGATACACGAAAATTAAAATAATTAAACTAATCGAATCGAGTTGATTAAAATTAAATTAATTAAACTAATTAGATACATGAACGAACATAAATTAATGAAAGTATTAAGATGTTTGGATCGATATTTCTTTTCGGAACACGCTTAGCGTCTAAAATCGGATCATGCTCTTTTGTGGCGATGTTTTAATTCAATGACATGGAAGATATCGAGTTTCGACTGCGAAGCGGTAAAAGAAGATCGTCGGTACGCGATCAAAAAAGCGAGCGAAAAAAAAGAATCGAAGTAAGTAAAGATATAATTTTTTAAAACGGATGATTTATAATTACTTATTCGTATACATTTATATATTGATCGAATGTGTATATACATATAGCGTTCTTATGTGTAGAATAACGAATAAAAGTATGTTTCGAAGAGCGATGTTTCCCACTTGCAATCATCTTGCAAAATCACTATTATATTCAGAAATACAGTGTTTCAAAGATTTCACAATTTCAAAAATTGCAAAATTACGTTTTATTATATTATATCAGCGTTTAAATTCATCTATTGAATGTATGTGTATATATATATATATATATCGCGCGCGCGTGTATGTGTATGAATATGTATATTGGTCAAATATGGATATGCATGCTGTTTATAATATGTATCAATCATATGTGTTTATATCTATATCGATTTTTTTTTTGTATGCTATATATATATATCGATTAAATACATATGTGTGCATATATACATATCGATCGAATATGAATACGTTTTTTGTTCGTATACGTGCATGATTAATCGAGTAAGATTAATCAAGTAATTGATGTGTATAAATTAAACTAATTCGATTATTATGACAGATGAATTGTTGTAATTAAAATAATTAATTAAAATAATGAAGATCCATGTGTGTAAATTGATCCTGCTACCTTCCGTTAATACCAGGGTATTTAATAATCTTAGCGTATTTTTTTTTATAAATGTATCTCTAATCTGTATCCTGAAGTACCTTCCGTTAATATGTGTTAATATATGTGTCTCGAGATATTTTTTTTTTATATATATATACATACTTAACGGATAAAAATGTCTGAATCACACTAATTAAATTAATTAAAACGAATAATTTGAATAAATAAATCGATGGAATGATTAAGTATGAATTAAATTAGTTATGCGAATTAAAATAATTAAACTAATCGAAACGAGTTGATTAAAATAAGTATATTAAATATGGCGAAGAATTCAAGAGAAAGAGAGAAATTCAAAATAATTAAATTGATGGAAATGAATATATTAAAATAATTAAGAATAATAAATAAAAAATAATTAAGTTAATTAAGTACTTAACACATGCGAATTAATTTAATTACGCCTATGAATGAAAATAAGTGAATCGATTTATATTTTTTATTTTTGGAGCTTAACGTTTAAAATGTAATTGTGGCCACTTTCGCGCTAAAACAGCTTAATGATGTGGAAGGTGTCAAACGTCTAGCGTCGAGCGGTAAATTGGAGAAGAGTTAGCGCACAAAGAAGCGAGCGTGAAGAAAGAAGGAAATAGAAACATTGACAGATTTTTAAAATGATAATATATTATCGATAATTATTTATTTATATATATTTATTTATATATATATATATATATATATAGATATAAAAAGCAAATAAAAACATTCAATCGATATACATATACACACATACAAGAAATTACATATTCAATTGATATATATATATATATATACATATTGTTGTATGTGTATATATATATATTGAATTATTTAAATTATTAAAAATAAAAATCCTTTAAAATTAAATTATTAATATTTAATTTAAAATACATCAATGTAAAAATTTATCGATAAGACTCATTTGTTTCGATTAGTTCCTCAATATTTCGATAGATGCCGCCACTTATTCATTCGTTTCAATTAGTTTCTCGACATTTCTGCAAATAGCGTTATAACTACATTTTTCAAAATAAAAAGCTTTGGGATTATTAATGCATATACAGATGGTGTTACTTGTTTTATTTATTATACAATTTTTGAATTCAGATGTATATATATGATTGGTTTGTGTGTATATATATATACAAAAATATGTAGCGATCGAATATGGATGCATATATATATATATATTCGAATAAAATAAAAATTCGAAATAAAATAAAAATAATTTTTAAAAAATATACCATAAATTATATATATATATAATAAAATACTTTCATAATTATATATTCCATTAAAAATCTAAAAAAATTTAAATAAAACTAATCAACCATATAAACTAATATATCAATTAATGTAAATTATTTCCCTCGATTTTAATATTTATTGTATAAGTTTAATAATAATATTTATTGTATAAGTTTTTAATGTAAAAAATAAAAGTCACTAAATATATTAGTGACTTTTATTAAATGTTGAAACTTCACTTATGTTTACGATATCATCTGTATTGGATCGAGTCGCGTAGCTATTTCTAATAAAGTTTGATATCGAATGTAGAGTATTTTTAGCGATCGAATTGATAAGAGAATAAAATTAATAACGTATATTCTTTTATAAAGAGTGATGGAGAAATAATTATCAAAAAGTAAGAAACATAACGATATAGTGAAAAATAAACGTGCGATTCATTTAACCTCTAAATACGAAATAATTTTCGACAACAACGAAAATAATTTATACGTAATAATCGAATGGTATTTATTAAAATATTTATTTATTTCGAACGATCAATATTTTTTTTTATTTTTAATGTCAAATTTTAAACTTTCAACGTTATGATCGTTAAGGTTACGTATTATTTATTCGTAGCGATGTTAAATTTGTTTATATTTTTAAATATATTATTGATATATTAATATGATTTACGAAAGGTAAATTCATAAAAATCGTATTAGAAAATAAATAAACATGACGGCAGCGATTAAAACGTTATGGAAACAAGCGTTAAATACGTTCGAAGAACGAAGTAACGTAGGATTTAAACTTTGCCAAAAAAATTTTGACAAATTGCGGTATTTAATGAATAAAATTACGGCTGAAGATGTAAATCTGAATAAACAAATTCTTGATTTTATTCAAGTGCAACATGCACCGATGTGGGTTATCGATATATTTGAAAACAAAGACTTTGCTATTTCAATTTTTATATTGAAACACGGATTTACGATGCCGATTCATGATCATCCTGGAATGTATGGATTTTTAAAGGTTTGTAATGTCATAAAATTTTTAAAAATATGTATGCTATGTAAAATTAATGTTTTTTTATTTTCTTTTAAAATATAGGTAATCAGTGGTGTAGTTCAAGTAAATAATTATACTTTAAAAGCAAACGAGGATCGTACGATTAGATTAAACGAAGAAGTCATGGCATTTGGACATAAGCCGATATCTTTACATAGTAATTCACCTGCTTGTACTCTTACACCGAGAGATAAAAATTTGCATGAAATTACATGTATCGAAGGACCTGCTGCATTTTTGGATATACTTAGTCCGCCGTATGATGTGGATGAATCTGGAAAGGGTCCAAGACCATGTACATTTTTCAAAACTATTGATAGTTCTGAATTATGTACGGATTCACCAGATATAGTCGAAGAAGTTAAATTGATGGTGATTGAAGGTCCACCGGATTTCTATTCTGGAAGTCTTAAATATACGGGACCACCATTAATGTGACCTCGAGTACCGAGAAATATTTTTTGTTCTATTTGTTAAGAAATTTTGCATTTTATTGTATTAATTTACGACTGCGATTGTATTATAAATTTTTAAGAATGTTCAATTTTAATTGAATATATATGATGTTTATCTCTTGTATCTTTTTGCGGATATACAAGTATATGAATACATACGTATTTAAATGAATTTCATATATAGATATAAAAATTCTTTATTTCAAATATTTTATGGTATTGGTTTATTTTTATTTATTATTGACTTTAGATTGAAATTAAATATAATTTCTAAAGAATTGAAAGAAAGAATTTGATTTTCGTATACAAAAAAGTTATCTGTACAAAATCACAAATGCGAGATACATTAATGCTTGCAAGAGCATCTGTTATCGATTATATCTATTATCTAATTTTATAATACCATCATCGTTATAATATGTTTGTGCCGAGTGTCGATTCTTATTGTATTAAGTTTCATATTTTTACCTTTTCTCCTATGCTCGCTTGAATTTTTGAAATATCTACTCGCGATGATATCTCCTAAAATAAGATTCTTTGCGGACGCTCCCATGAGCATTATTGTAATTATATTACGTTTACTATTTTGTCGATATATAAAGATGTAAACGAAAAATGTATTATATATTACTGCACTTTATACGTAATGGGTGATAAAAAAAAGCGTATAATAGTTATAAATAAAAACGAAAATTTTATTTGTATAAAAAATGTGATACTTATTTATATCGCGTATTTAAAAAATAAATTCATCGTTTCTGTTATAAAAAAAATATATGTTTATGTATAGTTAATAATTGTTTTATCAATATTTTTTCAAAAATTAACATTTCTGAAATATACACGGAGTATTTCAATTTTTTTAACGAAATCTCGCCAGTATTTACGACTAACGATAAAAAAAAAATGTTACATAAATATAGAGATTTATAATTATAAATACTTTATTAAAAAATTAATAAAAATATAAAATGACGATGAATTAATTTTTTTGTTTCGTATATAGGAATTCGATATCTATTATCTAAAAGCTTACATAAATATTACTTTTTATATTTATTGAAGTATATTTTTATATCGAAAAAAAAACTAATTCATTATTGTTTCATATTTTTATTTTAATTTTTTAATCAAATATTTATATAATTTTATATTATTTTTATTTATAATATTCGCAATATATATACGTATTTACAAAGTTTTATTGAAAAAATCTGGGACACTTTGTATATTGTACTTATTAGCAATATAATTTTTCTGTAAAAATATGATGAATGTATCACGTACGATCCTTTTTTAAAATATTTTCAGTTTTTATTTTATATATTTGTTATATATTTATTACATTTTATTAATATTAATAATTTCCTAATTAAACTTAAATTTAAATATAGTTATTTAATTATAACTTTTAAAAAATTATAAGCAATGAATCAGTATATATCGATATTGATATATCGATTTTAATATATAAGGTGTCTCAGAAATTACCGATAAAGTTTAATCGATGATTCTTGAGATGATTTTACGTAATTTTTTTCTTTACGAAAATTTTTGTTTCGGCTTTGTTAATAAATTATACGAAAAACAATTGTCGATCGTAGAAAGCAGAGTTATCGTGCCGCGATAGTAGCATTAACTGTATACCATCGACGAGTCGTCGAGTTAGAACGAATTGAGCTAATTAATTTATTCATTTTTTGTTTTTGTTCGACGATTATTTGACACGCTTGCTTCGATTTTAAATTATTATTATATATTTTTTTATTTAGGTATAAAAACATAATTTAAATTGATATTTACTAGAATTTCTTATATTTACAGCAAATAAAACATTTACATAAAATAAGGTTTTATTTCAAAACTTTTTTATTTGACATATATTAATATATAATTCGATACCCTAATTCAAAACTTATCTATAATAGAAATAAATTTTTTTTCTAAAGATTGTATTCCTTTTTACATTAATAGTAAAAATGTGAATAATTGCTAAAAACGTATCTTGTCTATTTTTGTCGATGCACGGAAAACTTGTGCCGTGTTTGGTTCGTAAAAAATACAATTTTTGTTGTTAACGAACTATAGATTTAGAACGATGAATGATATTTTTTCTTCGTATACTTGTTTCGAATAAAGAAAATTCGAATTAAGAATATTGATGTATCTTAATTCTTATTTATTATATGGAAAAAGATAAATGGACATTGTCATTGTACTTTTTAAATAATTAAACTTTTCTAATAATTAAATTTGAAAAATGAACGATTTCTTATTTTTCGATCGAATATTTCTCTTCGAACAAATAATAATTCGTTAATTATATTTATATAAATGATAATTTTTGATTATTACGTATATGTAATATGCGCACACGTATCGAGTGATATAGATGTATAAATTTATGTATCGTTAGACCTGATTAAAGTACCCATAAACTTATATTGTTATGTAAAAGTAATATACTGGACATTGTTTTTATGATAAAAGTACGCTATGATGTTTAGTTTTTCTAAACTGAAATATATTGTTTTATTATTAGGATATTCCTTAAGAATATTTTGAATGTTTTAATTTAACTTGTCTGATTGGTTTCAGAATTTTGTTGTCTTCTATATAATGCAACATTATTTTCTGTATAATCCATTATACGACGTTGACATTGTCTTACGTATTGTTGTTGTTTATGATAAATCTTGAATGCACCTTTTATTACTATAAATGCTATACCTCCCTGTAAAAATGAATTAATTTTCTAATCTAAAAGTTAATATAATTATTTAATTGATATAATAGATATATTTAGTACATACGAATAATGTTCTTTGAAAGTTAGAATGTATACTTTCAAAAAATATTTTTCCACATATGCTAGCGATACTAGGTAATAGGAGTGCACCACAAAGAATACGAGTTGCTGATATTGGATCGCTCATAGGTGGTACATCTTCGGATTGTGCTCTATCGTCGCTGGAATAACTAAAATAACATCGTTATATAAAACGTATAATTTATTTCAAATTTCCGTATAAATTTTTTTACGTACCTACTGGGCAAGAAATGCCTCAAAATAGGAACCTTACATGCGTGTCTTCTTAAGAGACTAAGTGCAAGATCTTCCCATCTTAGCATTTTTCCCAAAATTAATATTATTGGAATAGTTGGCAGACCAACTAGTAATACCAAAGGATCAGCTTGTTCCATCATAGCTAAACCATCTTTATGACCGACTACTTGCATTACAGTTACTGCACCATATGTTACAGCAGTCCAATATATAGATGCGGCAAGTATACTAGCTGCGATAAATGGACAAATCCGGAAAATTACTCCATCAATAGTATCCAATACGACTACTAACGGTCCTGTAATAATATATATATAGAATAAAAAATTTAAGTTGTAAAAAAAATATTTTTATAGAAGATTAATTATAAAGAAATATATTATGATTTAAAGTTTTATTATAATCGAATGCATGAAAATCATATGATGATATATATGTTTTTAATCAAGCACTAATTGAAATAAATATACTTTCAAAAAATATCTTGATATGAAAAAACTATTTATTAAAAAGTCTAATTTAGAAGATATTTTAATTTGAATTTTGCAAAATATATATGAAAAATTTAAAACATAAACAAGTAAATATTATTTCATGTTTTTTATATTTCATATAATAAATTATAAATTTCAAATTATTTTTAAATAATTTGAAAACTAATAAAACTAAACTAATGATTTTTTGACAGCTTAAAGCATCTTTATAAAAAATAACGAGCTGCGGAAAAACTATTATCATACAAGTTTTCTTTATATCAAACAATTGTAAGAACATTTTTTTATAATTTTCAATTCAATTTTTTCCAATGTTCTTTCTTATGGATAATATATCTATCTGATAATATATAATAATATAAAATAAATATATACATATGTATATTTATAATGAAATAATATAGTAATATATATTTTTTTATATATAATTATATATAAAAAATCAAACGATATTTAAATATATAAATAATTACTAACCCATATTTGGATATACGATAATATATTCGGTATTACACTGTGGACATGCTACATGTGCACCTGCGCGTCCTTTTTGTTTTTCATCGACCCATCTTTGAATACATCCTTGATGGACCCATTTTGTTGTACCACGACAATGACATGGTTTTACCCATGAAGCAGTTGCATCATCTTCATCCGTTGCAAAACATACCCAACAATATCTTTTACTATATAATAAAAGAATATTTTATTAAAAATCATATGTTGAAATGTTATCTGTTATATAAAAATATAATTTATATTAATATACATACTCATCTTCTGTATTTATTACTGGTGCATTAACATCTGGTTGATTTAGAGAAGATGCCCCATCGATTGCATCATTTGGTTGTGCTTTGTTTATAGATTCTGATAATACGATAGGTAATGGTTCCTCATCTGATACAATTGCTGGAGGTTGAACATCAGATATATCTTTAATCAAGAATATTAATCAATAACTTTTAACAAATAATACTATTATATTAATATTAATATATAGATCTTAGTTATATTAATATAATATGTAGATAATTTTTTCTAAAACTATTATTATTTAATTATATACAAATTATAAATATTAACTTATCAGTTTTTGTTATATATATTTATAAATATACATTGTTATATATATTTTTATTTATATATATTGTAATATTTAAGAAAATATTTAAGGAAATTATATACATACATTTAATAAAAAAGCAATTATTATTATATATATAATTAATCAATTTCTTAATTTATTACCACCGCTATTTGATTCGTTAATTTGTCTTTCTGATCTTAGATTTGTGCTAAGTCTTCTCAATGTTTCTTCTATACTTGGAAGACGACCGATAGCAGGCCTTGTGATACTAGATTCTATGCGTACTATTCTACCAGGTGAATCGAGTCCGTATGAAATATGTGGTAAATTGTTATCTGACATTTTGTCTCAATAAAATAAGATTTTCAATATTGCATCGCTATGTTATATCTGAAAAAACAAATATCAATGTTTATAAAATAAATTTATTTAATATCAATTTATTTGATAACTTAAATATATATTAATATATGATAATATTTATAACATATAAATGTATATATATATATATAGATTAATTATTAGTAATTAATAATTACATCACTGGTACAACTTGCAATAAATTTTAAAGGATATTGCATAATATCATGGTATATATATGTATATATATATATATATATATATATATACTATATTTTATCATACATTAAAATTGTTTTTGATTTAATTACCTTTTTAGACATTTTTTTATATAATATATTATTCGTTCCTATTTCTATAGTAAAATGATAATAAATTTCAAAAATGTATCGAAAAAGTATATCTAAATATTTTTTTTTACTATGTTGAATAGCATTGATATTATCTGATTAAAATATAATGTTAACGTATTGCAAGACCATTTTGTTAACTACTGACACGTCGTAATGAAGTTGATCGTCCACTGGTTAATGTACATCGTTATAAACTAGAAAATATATCGTAACAAACTTTATCGAAGAAATGTTTTTAAATAAACACAGGTTGTACAAGTGGAAATTGACATGTAAAATTATATATAATATCGTATAATAATAATATAAATACGTTTGAAATCAAAAGTAATAATCTACCTGAAGCAACATTCATAAACAATTCAATGTTACATATTTACAACGAAGCGATAAGATTATAAATATTTTCTCAAAGTACGATAAAATAAACGTAACATAGTGAAAGTAATTTAATTACATAGCAATTTTTCTTAATATTTTGCGATTTTACTACAAAAATGTATACTAGTCGAAATTCACTTTGCAAACGGTTTTATTTCGTTTTTCACTCTTATTGGCATTGAATAAAAGTTACATGAAATCGCTGCTTATAGTGATGGTGAAAATTAATGTGAAAATTCGCCAATAAAATAAGCTGTCAAATTTCGTATCGATATTAAATATTTTTTCATAATTTTCCAATTTATTTATTGACATTTTGATTAAAATAAATATTTGCAATTATTTCATATTTTAAATAAATATTTATTAATTTTTTTTTTAAATTTGTGATTTAAATTTTATTACTTGATTTTTATTTCCAATTTTTCAGCGCCATCTTCAAATATTTATAAATATTATCATTATAAATTTATTATATAATTTAAATATTCCTTGAAAAATTATTTATATTATAAAAATTGTTTTAATTTATCGGTATTTAATTATAATATTTTCATTATTTTTGTATGTAATATAATTATAATTATTTTCGTTAAAATACAATTTTAAAAATTAAGAATAAGTAATAATTTTACTTATCTTACAATTATGAATTAACTATTTAATTGCTATTTAAAAAATAAAATTAATTAAAATAATTTAAAATTCATTAATAATAAATTATATGAAGTGAATTGTACAGTGAAATTATTATATGTTTCTTGAGATCTTTTTGACAGAAAATTTCAGTGAAAATTATAAATTGTATATATTCGAAGATATAAAAATTTAAAAATTTTTATTTTATAAATAATAAATATTTAAATATACAGTGATAAAACAATGAAATATTTATTCTATTTGATCATATGAATTAAAAGTTATGTAAAATGAAGTTAGCTACTAATTTGCGATTATCTGATGTATTATCGTAAATTATACATATTGTTAGCTCAATGTTGTATTTGTGATTGTTTATATCGAGTATTTAAAGAAATAAAAATAATTTTTAAATTTTAAATATACAGTAAAATTTATACAATATCATTGAAAGAATAATTAAAATTATTTATGTATTTTATAAAAGCTTTAAAATAGTAAATGAAAGTGATCTATTTAAATGAAATGTAAACAACCCATATTGAAATATTTATGAGGCAATTAACAATCAAAGATAGTCATTTTAGAATATAAATGAACGGAATAAAAAATATGAAAGATTGTAGAGTAAAGTTTTGTTATCGATATTGAATATGTGGGTGTTTGATAAAGAAACATTAGATTTTTCATAATTATAATATATTTATCATTATTTTCGCTTTTTCATAATTTAAACATGTTTTCCATAATATCTAATTTCCGAAAAATTTTAGAAGATATTATAGGTAAATATATGATTTTAAATTGATATAATATAATTTTATTTATTTAAGAAGAAAACGAACGTTAATAAATGCAAAGAAAAAATATATAATGTTATAAGCATGTTTAGATAATGGAATAATTTTTTTTCTTAATAATATATAATAATGTTTTTTTATTTTAAAAATAATTTTATAAATTTTATTATAATTTTTATATTTGTTATATTTATTTATTTTTTTAATTTTTATTTATTTTTTTTCTCCATTTTATGAAAATTATATAATATATGATATTAAATAATAATAATGATTATATTAAAAATAATTTATATATTTTTTTAGTTGAATATATTGATGTTGATTTTACACTTTGGTTATCATGGCTTTTAATGCCGCTTTTGATAACGTTTTTACTTCCTCTTGTGATTGTGGCATTATTATATTTAACTGCATTAATATTATATGTATACAAGTTACATAGGTAAGTCGTAATTATATGAGTATATATTAGAAATAAATATTATAACGAATAGTTTATTTTATTTTAATAGAGTTAGATTAAGAAATGCATATGAAACAGATTGGAGAAATGCAGCTCGTAATGTAGTAGCTGCAGTTTGGGATGCTCATGGTTGGATTTGGTACGGTATGTTGCATTAAATTATTTAAATATATATTCATTTTCATAAGATATATTTAATTTTAGCATCTATATTTTTATACATATTTTGTAGGATATGAAGTAATTGGAATTGAAAATATACCACAAAATGAACCAGTACTTTTTGTGTATTATCATGGAGCTATTCCTATAGATATTTATTATTTTATATCTAAAGTATTACTTTTAAATTCAAGATTAATTCATACAGTAGCGGATAGATTTCTTTTTAAATGTCCTGGATGGTCTATTATTTCTGATGTATTAAAAGTTATACCTGGTACAGTTCAAACATGCTCTGCTATTTTAAAAGAAGGTAATATGCTTGCCATTTCACCTGGTGGTGTATATGAAGCTCAATTTGGAGATTCTTATTATCAATTAATGTGGAAAAAACGAGTAGGTTTTGCAAAAGTTGCATTGGATGCTAAAGTGGTAAGTTATTTTATTATGTATATTTATACATATACATATATATATATATAGAATTAATATATTTATAGAAAAGTTTGGAAGATTGATTTTAGAAACCAAAGAGAAAAGTTGATATACGAAAATGTCAATTGAAATTTATTTATTAAATTATAAACAATATAATTTTGCGTTAAATAAAATCAGACGAAAACGACGATGGCGTAACAGAGATAAAATAGCCTTGTTCTATTTCCATCTTGTTTTTATCAAATTTTAATTATTTATAATTTAATAAATAAACGACTTTTTCTTATATTTGACCTCTAAAATTAGTTCTCCAAAAATATCCCATGAATGTATTAATATCTTGTATGATATATATGTATATATGATACATGCATACACATATATATGATTATATTATGATATAGTCATAATCATTTATATAATCATAATTTATATATATTACTGTTATAAAATACTAATATTTTTGTATTAACAGTGCATAATACCTTTATTTACAAAAAATGTTAGAGAAGCATTTAGAACGATCAGTTGGGGCAGAAGAATGTGGTTAAGAATATATGCTGCTACTAGATTTCCTTTTGTACCTATCTATGGTGGTTTTCCTGTAAAATTGACCACATATGTTGGTAAACCAATTTCATATGATGAAAATCTTACACCGGAAGAGTTACAAATAAAGGTAATAAACACAACTACTAAAATTTTATAATTTTATTTTATTCTAAATAAAATAAACATAATAATATAAATAATAATATATGGGACGAAATAAATATTATTTCTGTTTTAGGTTGCTGATGCACTCAATAATTTAATAAGTCAACATCAAAGAATACCTGGAAATATATCATTAGCTTTATTAGAAAGAATATATACTCCAAAGAAAAAAGAATCATAATTAGTATTTACTTGAGTATTATAATATTGTATCTTATACTCTGAAGTAGAAAAGTATTTAAAAAATACTAATTGAATTCCTTAGAATTTATATCTATAATTTATGGTGCTTACCATTTAACATTAACTGATAATTAAGATTCTATTAAATTTAAAATTTATATAAGATATATAAAAAGAGTTAATTTTGCGGCAACGAAACTGTACTTATTTTTCAAGCGTATCAATTTATCTATTTTTTAATTTTTATATAAATAATATATTATTATAATATATTTTATTTTAATTTATTTTTAAGGAAGTATATAATGAACAAATTTATTTAGATTTGGATATATTTTTTTAATATATTGATTTTTTTTAATATCTATATATATTTTATAAATTTTATATATTATATATATTAATACAAATATCTATATTAATATAATATAATATTAAATTTGTAATTTTATACGCATAATTGAAAAAATAGTTTTTTATTTAAATATATTATAGATGTATTTTTATTGTAGAGTTCTTAATGTAAATGATTTGTAAATATATTTTTTGTTATATAAATTTGTAATATAATTATCTGTCAATAATTTTATATGATAAATTAGATATTATTAGATTAAGATATTGTAATAGAATATCTAATTATTCATTTATTAATTTATATATAAATAAAATAGAAATAAAGAATAGAATTAAGAACTTGTGTTTTTTTGTGTTAATATTATTAATTATTAATGCAATGTTTGTAATAATTGATCGTGCTATTTTTTTAAACATTATATAATATATTAAAAATGATTAACAAATAAATAACTATTATTTATTTAAATTTTATAAATTCATATCGGATAAAATAAATATGAGTATTCGTGTAATATGAAATAATATTTATTTTAAATTTAACGGAATCGGAAATGTTCGCATCGATTATATTAACCGGAAGATCTAACGTGCAGCGAACCTAACGACGGCTTTTATAGTTAAAATTTCTTTCCCGAGGGTATCTTAGGATACCTTGTTATATTCATCGAAAGGCTTTGAACAGCATCATTTTTTACAGCTATAAGAATCACATTTATGCGAATTCTAATTAACGGTAAAAACTGATTGACTTTGTATAACAAAAATTACTTATTTCTTTATTAGGATTTCGATTTTTGTGACGTAAAATATATAGTCATGGGCGTGGATGTGGAAGTTCTTTCTCCTGGAGACGGTAATTATTCTGTTCACGATTATTCTATGATTCTTCGCTTTTATTTTTTAATTGTTGTTTCTTTCTATTCAATTTATTTTCAAATCATATTTTGATAATTATTTTTCTGTTCAATTTCAAATAAATGTTCTTAATTGTATTACTATTAAAATATGCCGGAAAATTTAGTCGGTGAGATTTATTTACAACCTGAAAATTTATTTGCAAATCTAAAAGCATAGATTTTTCGAATTATTCCGTTTCAAATAAAATGATTTCGATTTTTATTTAATATAGTTAAAAAATATAAAACGTTTTAGTACTTTATATTTTTCATTTATAATGCAAATTTCTTCGAATATTTTGTCTATATAGGCCAGACATATCCGAAAACTGGACAGACTGTAGTTGTTCATTATACAGGTAAATATTTTCAAAATATTTCGTATATATCATATATATTAAATTATATATATATATATATATATATATATATATTGATAGTAATTTTAAAAACAAACAATCAGATTTATATTGTTTTTCAAACTTATGTACATATTAAAATATATTTACATTATAATATCTTTATTAAGTAAAGTAGTTTTGTTTTATTAATAGAATATTTTAAATTCTGAAATTTTAACTATTAAATATTTGATAGGTACTCTTGACAATGGAAAAAAATTTGATTCAAGCAGGGACCGTGGGGTACCATTTAAATTTAAAATAGGTAAAGGAGAAGTTATTAAAGGTTGGGACCAAGGAGTTGCTAAAATGTGTGTTGGAGAACGTGCTAGGTTAACTTGTTCACCAGATTTTGCCTATGGTAGTCGAGGACATCCTGGAGTATATCCTTTAATACAACGATAAATATTTCTAATATTATTATACGCATAATTTCAGAATTAAATTTAGAGAAAAAGCATAATAAAATAAATTTCATACTTCGTGAAATTTATTAATTTATTAAATTAACTATTATAATAATGCTTTTTATTGCCATTATTATTGCTCTTAAATGAATTTTTTAATAATATAATATTTAATTGTATTATTAATTATATAAAAAAAATTTATTCTAATATTATCCTTGACATAGATACACTATTCCTCCAAATGCTGTTCTCATCTTTGATGTGGAATTATTGAAGGTGGAGCCTTGAAGTGTTTTTCAAGTATATCAAATTGACCGCACACATCGGAATCACAGATAATTAAATGCTTCAAATTATATTATGTTAAATAGTCATTGCACGAGAGTGTATGTCTCGTATATTAATTTAATTGCTCGTAAAAACAAAAAAAAAATATTAAGATTTTAATTCATTTCATTATTGCATAGTTATATAAATTATAAATTAAAGTTAAAAATCTCAGAAATCATCAATGACCAATTATATGATGTGAGATATTAAAATATTTTTTTCACACTTTTATGTCATAATTGAATTAAAATTTATACTATTCATTTTGAGACTACTTCCTATATTATGAGTAATTGAATTAAAATAAATTTTGAAGCATTCAAATTATAATTCGAATAATCTGTGTTCATTCCAATTACTTAGTACTTGATAAACAATCACCTGGATATTTTGTACAAAATCTTTCAATGATGCAAAAAGAAATACTGTAATAATGGTAATGTAATAGTATGAACATTTACACAGAAATATTCAATAAAAAAAAAACTGTCTTGTCTTCAAATATATGAATATATTTATTAACCCATAATTACATTTATCTACTATTTAAATTTTTTAAATTTATATATATATACAATTTTGAATAAATTTGATTTATTTTGAATATTTAATTTTGTTAAAGTTTTTTTAATTATATACAATATTATATTATACTTAAAATTATATTATATTATATTAGGCAATTATTAAAGCAAATCTTGTTAATAAAATAACATTGAAATATATTATGTAATTTATAAATATGTAATATTTATGTATATCAATTTGATATTGATATATAAACACATTAAATTATATGAATTTTCAAAAGAGATTATTTTGTAAATTGCACATTACTAGTTTACATATTATAAATAATAAAATAATTTTGAATTGTTTTTTTAATATTTTTGCGTAATAAATTTATTAAAATTGAAATAATAATTTAAATTAGAAATAAATATTAATAATAAATATTAACAATTTATAAATATTAAAAAAAATACATATATATACATATAAATAATTAATTTTAAGTATCATTGCACTTATTAAATGTATCGAATAAACTATGTAAAAATATTGTTTTTTACATTTTTTAACATAAAAATGTATAAATGAATTAAATCGATTATAATTGACATAATTATATAAAGTCTAACTTAATAAAAATATCATAATAAAAATCATAATAAAGAAAGATTATTTTAATAAACAAACAACTCTGGGAAATGTATTTCATAAGCTGGAGCTTGATTTGGTTTAGTATCTATTGGTGGTCCTGGTTGACTTGAATTTCGTGGATCAACGGATAATGTGTTAAATATTTCTGATAGTTTACTTTGTAAAACATCATGCTATAAAATTATTTATTTTTAGATTATTTTTATAATAAAATAAAGTAATAAGATAATAATAATTATTATTATTATACCTTTGGTTGTGTTTTTGATACCAAATCTTGAAATGGTGCGTTTCTAAAAAAATGCGATAACTGTAATCGTTTTTCTTCTTCCATTACATGATTATTGTTATTTTCAGTTAGAATTCGTTTCATACTTTCAAAAGTCAACTCTTCTCCTGGTAATTTCTAAAAAAAAAAAACATTATTTTATAAAAAATAAATCATTAGAAAAATACAAATAAATTAAAAATATATGCAAAGATATACTTTTTGAACACCAGGAGACGAACCACCACTATCTAATTCTGCAGTACCAGAATTAATATCGCCTAATGAATTTCTTCCGCTATCGACCCACGAATGACTAAAAAGAGAAACATAAAATTTTAATAATTTTTAATATTATAACTAATAAGATAAGAAAATGAAAATTTAAATTAGAATAATTAATATTACCGATGTTGTAATGAAATACTATTATAACCAGATCCTTGTTGCAATTTTCCGCTGTCAAGTCCAGCTCCTTTTAAACATTCGCTTAAAACGGTTTGATCGACTAATAGAATGGGTAGTAATCTAGAAGATAAGCCAATATCATACTGAGATTGTAAATCAGGTAAAAGATGAGATGCTTCCTTTCGCCGTATTTCTACAATCTTAAAAATAAAAAAAAAATAAAATTTAAAAAAACCAAAACTATCACATGTGTAGAATGAAATAAGTTGTAACTTACTTTATTTGCGTAATCCATGAGTGAAGTAATATTACAAACATAAGATATTAGTACAAGCAAACTTATGACAATGGAGTGCAAATTAAATTTTAACGAAATACTGATTTGGCCACTTGTTAAAGATAAATCCTGAAGACTCAGTACTAATCTTAGCAATTCTAATATTGTTTCTTCTGAAGCCAATTCTACAGCAAGTAATGCCAATGTTGTATATATAGACTCCACGTTTTCAACTTTATTACTTGCCAATTCTAATGATTCGTATAATGCTAAATAGATTTCAGGGCCATGTTTACGAATAAAGATCACATCTGGTCTGGATGCTTTTTCAATGGTAAGATCAAGTTGCGCAACATTTACCCTATTAAATGTAAAATTGTGTTTAAAATGATTCAATTCATTTGATCATAATAATTAAAAATATTTGTTATTAACAAATTAAAACTTACGTGGGTTTTGCGAGTTTTGTAATATTTTGATGCCTATCGATTAAAGTATGAAAGATTTTTTGTACTAAAAGTCGCATTTCAGCATCTGCTGCCAATGACATTCTTAACAATGGTTCCAAAAAACTTGGTGGAAATGTTGTATTTAAATGTATAGTTTGATATTTTGTGCCAACCTAAAATATATTTATAAAAATAATATATATAATGTATATATGTACACATACACACACATGCGCGCGCACGCATGTATGCCCATGTATTTTTTTTGTGTTATACATAATTACTTTTAAAAGAGATTTTAGAAGAATACTTTGAAGTAATACATCTCCTTTACCAACTGAAACTATACGATCTGGTTGACTATATGGAACTTTACTCATTATAAACATCATAATTTCTATTTTCTGGTAATCTGGAAGATGATTTGCAAATTCTCCAAGAGCATTAATAAGTGCCTCTTGATATAATTGTTCATCATTACTTGAAGATTGATTTCTTGTTACGCTAATTCTAAGATGAGATAATAGAGAATTTATTATTTCCAAAACAGAAGGACCTTTAAAAAATATTATTGTTACTAATTTTATAATACAAATATATATTTTATTTTACTATTTTTTATTAAAACATACCAACACTTTCACCAGCTGCAATTGAAATAATTTTAGACAAGGTGTCAGCTATACTTGTTCGAATTTTGGGAGACGATTTCGAATGATCATCAAGATGAGTCATTAATGCTTCCACAACTGTATAAGAATATTGTGACTAAAAATTTTTGATAATAATTATATACTTTTCTCTTTTAAATACTTATTAATTAATACTTATTAAATAATAATATTTATTGATTGTGTACTAACCTGAATTGAAAACATAATAATTCTAAAAGTATGAATTGCAAAATAATTAGGAACCCATAATTGATGATTATCTAAATGTCTGCAAATAATTTTTATATTATTATTTTTATTATTTGTAATAAATATTATTTTTATTTTTAAGAAAAAATATACAGGATATTCCAATGAAATTTTGTTCACTTTGAATATTTTCATTATTTGTAATAATACTTTTGTAATATCTTCTTTATTTGAATAAATTTTATTTCATTTCATGAAAAAAAAATAATATGATATATTTTTTGTATGAATAGATATATTCAAGACATTTCAAGATCATCTGCATTTTTAGTCAAGATGCTATTTTTTCATATGTAATAGTCGGCTTTAATCAATTTAAGGAATTATTATTAAAGTCATTTAAAGTTAATCTATCTATAATCTAAAATCTATTTACAAAATAGTTTTCTTTACTTTAGAAAAGATATTCAAAATGTTGACTATTTATGACAATGCAAAGTTGCAACTTTGAATTATTGAATCATATGCATATTTTATTCTTTGAGTTTATTTCAACACATGCTGCATTTTTAATTCATTAAATAATCATCAAACAATATGATTACAACATAACGGATGCTCAATGCATTATATTTGAAAAATAAGAAATACTTTAAATGAGCTTTACTTAAATAGATGAAAATCGAACAGAATCAAAACTGATCTTTTGATTTAACGTCATTGGATTTTTTGGAGAGAAGTCTTAAAAATATTATTCATCAAGAATAAATTACGTTAAAAAAAAATAAATAAAATGTATGTATTCAATAATAATTCAAAACTTGCAATTTTGTAAATGGTTTTGTACATTTTCTCTAAAATAATAAAGATATTATATAAGATTTGATTTTAATAGTCTTTTGGTCTTAAAACCGGCTACGTAGATATAAAAAAAATTACAGCATCTTAGACAAAAAAATGCAAATGACTTTAAAATCCATGTTTCAATACGCTCATTCATATAAAAATACATTATATTATGTCCTTATATCAAACAAAAATATCATAATATACATAACAATATAAAATTTTTTTATATTATTACAAATAATGAAAATATTCAAAATTATTAGACTATTTTATGCATGAGATAATTTATACTTTAAATAACAAATCTTAAATTCTAAATAATTAATTATTATTAATTAAAAACAAACCTTAAAACAGGTCTAATAACACATCTAATATGACCAAATGATGCTCGTCCAACTAATTCTCGCATACAAGTTTCTGCAAATTGTGGTGGATCAGATTGTTCTGTAGGATTACTTTGTGTTGTATCTTCTTTGCTAGAATACCTTTTAATTAAATAAAATTATTATATAATAAATAAATAAATAGTAATCAATTATTACATATGTATTCATTTTATATCACCTTGAATTCTGCATATTGTATAATAATGATGGAACAATTTTATCCATATGTACAGGTTCCCAAATATTTTCTACCAAATCATCAGAAAGTGTTTTTCTTACGACACCCTATATTAATTTTAATTCACTAGTTTTAATAAAAACATATAATAATAAATTAATTATATTTTAATATTTAATTGTATACTAATTATAATATATTATATTTTTAAAATAAATATATATCCAATTTCGATTTTAATATATAAAATATAAAATATATTTATTAAATTATAGTTACAGATGTGTGAATATAATAAAATCATACTTGTAATCCCTGAATTCCAGCAAGTCTTATCTGTTTGCGAATTGCAGGATCATTGTGGTTTGAGTGGCACATTGCAGAGTATTTTGATACAAAGAAATCGTAACGTGTGTGATAAGACGGCGTATCTTGCTCGATGTTGGCAAACCGGACAAACTAGAAGAAGCCAGCACTTTGTTCAACTGAATTGAAAGATGTTAAAAATGAAATTACTTTTAATAAATTAAATAAAATTCTCATATATAAATATATATACATATATAAATATGAGAAATTTTATATGATAAATATATAAATATATATGATATACATATAAATATAATATATTATTTTAAATTACTTAATGAAACTTAC